TCAGGACATTCACTCTGATGGCCATAATTTTTCTCAGGGAACTAAGAGGTGCGAACACCTTCTGAGAGAAAAGAGCAGAGTGTTTATACAGATGAGTTGTGGAGAATAGTGGAAGCTGGGAAAAGTCATTAATGAGAATGGAAAAGGAAGCTGGCCAAAGAACAGTCAAAGTTATTAAGCAAGTGAGGCAAGTGAGCATGTGAGGCAAGTAAGCATGCATCTGTAGTGAAATCAATCTGCACAGGTGTGTGAAGTTACAAAAAACATCAATCTGCACTACTATATGATTTTCTTTTTTACCCAAATAATGATCAACCATCTCCATATATCAGTATAAGCACGGACCACTGGACTTATCTAGAGTTGCAAGTTTAAATACCAGACATAACAGAATGCAAAAGCATGAAGGAGCTGAAAGCACTGTGAGAAAAATTTCAAGTTATCAACCATAGGGTTGAGGATGGGTAAGGAAAGAAGACCAGGAGAGAAAATACAGTAAGGATTTAAGAACAGAGGTGTCAAGAAAACTGGACTGCTGTTTTATTGAGAATGAGAGAATTAGAAAGCTGGCATAACAGAAGGTCATGAGATTAAATTTTCCTAAATGGAAAAATTCTAGATTTGTTTTGTCCAATATGGTAGCCACTTGCCATATGTGGCTATTTACATTTAAATTCAATAGAATTAAAAATTGTGTTCCTCAGTCACACTAGCCACACTTCAAGTATTCAATAACCATGCATGGCTACCATACTGTCTGTTTTGGCCAGGGTGGATAAAACATCTCCATCATACAGAAAAGTCCACTGGAGATGGTGGCTCTAGATAATGCCAAACTCTAGGAAATTTCCAGGAGTGTAAGTTGAAGACAATTGGAGACAATAGCCATTGGGCAAGAGGCAGTAAAGGAATCAGGAAGGTGGAATATTTGATTGGTTTCCCACAGTGATGCTGAATTCAGCCTGTGGTAGGAGTTCCAATGAGCTAGATGCTGAAGTCCTCACCAAATGTTGGGAGTGTGACCAGATAGATGAATGTGTAAACTTTGCTGAGAGTTGTAATGTTTTTCTTAATAGTGTATCCAAAACCCTTCAGGACTTAGTGTCCTTTGCTTCTGAAACATGCTAGACGGACTGAATCTAGACCCAACCCGAGTGATGTTCCAAACCCCACTTAAACCTCTCCTGAACCATTCTCCTGGTTCAAAAATCACCTCTGTTAAAACTGTATCAACAGTAGCTTTAGCCAACCGAATACTGTGGGGTGAAAAAAGAACCTGTTGAGTCAACTCTATGTTGTCAGGTTAACTAAGTGGCTGAAAAGAATGCATCTATNCATTCTCCTGGTTCAAAAATCACCTCTGTTAAAACTGTATCAACAGTAGCTTTAGCCAACCGAATACTGTGGGGTGAAAAAAGAACCTGTTGAGTCAACTCTATGTTGTCAGGTTAACTAAGTGGCTGAAAAGAATGCATCTATGGCATAGCTTCACATGCAAGGTTTAACAGAAACTATTTGTGCCAGGATATACAACAAAAAGTCATCACTTTGAAGGAGATAGGTAGTTTGGATATGTCAGTTGTGATTACTGGGCTTCCCAGGTGGCACTAGTGGTAAAGAATCTGCCTCCTAATACAGAAGATGCAGGAGACGCGGGTTATATCCCTGGGTGGGGAAGATCCTCTGGAGAAGATCATGGCAACCCAGTATTGCCATGGCAACACTCCAGTTTCTTGCCTGAAGAATCCCACGGACAGAGGAGCCTGGGGGGCTACACTCCATAGGGTCGCAAAGAGTTGGACACTGCTGAAGCAACTTATCATGCACACACATTGTGTTTGTTAAACACGTTTGTTATAATCTAGGATTTAGATTTTTTTGATCAAGAGGGGTGGCTATCAATGAAACTAGTTATACTGGCTCTTCATGGCTAAAAATATCACACAAAACAATTTCCAGTGGCATATGGGCTAGGTGCCACCAGCCTTCCCTTTTCTTAAGCATTGACAGCTCTGAACTACAAGCCCAGCAATCCTGCCCTACTAACATCAATTAACGAGTCAGCACAAGTACTCCAGTCCTCTCATTCCTCAGCCCCTCACCCCAGAAATTACTGTAGTACCAGAATGAGGGTAAAGTTTACCATTCTGCAAAGGTTAGTAACACTCTGAATGAGTAAATGAACAATCACATCACTTAGCAATTATAAACTAAAATAAGCCCAATCCCTCTTTTCTCCTATCACTATTGCTAATCCCTCTTAATTTGCCCATTCTTGTTAATATCTGCAATTTTACTTTCACTTGTTTTTAAGAACTAGGATGTTTGCAAGAAGCTGGATGTTTCTTATTTTTCAATAGGCTATACAGTTTTAGTCTGTTGATTCTGCTAGGTTATATAGTTATTTGTGTGTAATGGGCTCTTCCACAGCAATATGCAGCAGAAAATTCCTTTTGACAAGCCATAGCAAACTTAATTGAGTCATGACGTATGCCACCAAACAGCTTCCAATGAGGCAAATGGTCTTTTTCCTAAGGTAGCATATGCTTTCACCCAGTTTCAACATGGCTGTATGACCTCACATGACCAAGGAAATTACTTTCTTCATTTGTGAAACGTTACAGAAAGGTATGGAGTTAATATTTGATTGAGCTAATTAAATTTTAAAGAGGAATATGCTCCACGAGGCTTTCTTCTCCCTTAGATTTAGTGAAAACTCTTTTAACAAAATCTTACCATTGAATTAACAGGTCAATTTTTTAAGTTTGTTTTTCCACTCTATAGATTAATCATTCCCTAGTGAGAATCCCAAATCAATTCTTTTAAACTTTCCATTCTATTTTAAATGTCACATAAGTAATATTAATAGAAATAACTCTTGTCAATATAGCATCTATGATTCTTTCCCACTGGCTTTGCAGCCTGAAGGCATTCCAAATTCTGACATCACTTTTAATGTTTTCAGGACAGATGCTGTTAGGGCTTTCAGCACAAGTAGTAGATAATCAGCAGACATTAGTTAACTTGTGAACCTTCATCTGAATATCCCTCAGATCCTCAGGGGATCTGGATGATATCAGAGCTTCAATGTCAGCCTGAAAAGTAACATCAGTAATGGGCATCGTCCTTACTTCCCTCCCCAGTGCAGCAATAAGGCACGGAAAAGAAGACAGTAAACCATTGATTTGAACCATATAAATGAGATGAACATAAATTGTGCTATCTGTTATATTCGTCCCCGATGCAAAATTTACCTAACATATAACACAAGTAGTCCCATTCAACTGCATCAAAGGACTTCTTGGCATCTAATAAAATTGTTGCTACTGGTTCCAATTTTCTCTTTGTATTTCAGATGAGTTGCATTAGCCTATGCAGATTATCTGATGCTTATCTCCAGACATAAAGTCTTTCTTGGATAAGAGCTTATTAGATTTGTGATTACTTCATGTAGCAAGTGTTGTGGTATCTATTATTTTATGCCTACTGACATTGTATAAAAGGATATTTTTCATAATACTGTTAAGGGAGTAACATGCAATCTTCAGTATAAGGCTATATGGATACATAATAGTATAAAGAACCGTAGGCTGCCTTGATTCCAAGCCACAAATATCTGATGCTTTAAAAATTCACTACAAACCATTTAAATGCATTACACTTATTCACAGTCTATTTCTGAAACTATGGGCTGTTCAGCGTGCTGATGGCAGAGAAGTTAATGTGTTGGTAAGCAACCTAAATTTTTATAAAGCTATTCTGAAAGTAACTCAATGCCACAGAAAGTAATATCAATTACTCCTTGCTTTTCAATTGACATTGCAAGGCTGCTCCAAATTCCTACCCTTCAATTCAGCACCTGCAAAGAAAAGGAAGGCACAGAATACCTCTATGGGAGATTTCTGGGTATTGCAATAACAAGAGGTACTTCTGAAATTTCAAACATGGCCTGAAACACTTCAAAGTTGGGGTTCTCCTATATGCAAGACAGAAAAAGAGACACAGATGTATAGAACAGACTTTTGGACTCTATGGGAGAAGGCGAGGGTGGAATGATCTGAGAGAATAGCATTGAAACATGCAGATTATCAAGTGTGAAACAGATCACCAGCCCAGGGTGGATGCATGAGACAGGGTGCTCGGGGCTGGTACACTGGGATGACCCAGAGGGATGGGATGGGGAGGGAGGCGGGAGAGGGGATCAGGAAGGGGAAGACATGTAAATCCATGGCTGATTCATATCAATGTATGGCAAAAACCACTACAATACTGTAAAGTAATTAGCCTCCACCTAATAAAAATAAATGAAAACAAACAAACAAACAAAGTTGGGGTTCTTCCCCCAAGTATTACTTAATCCTTTCATGCCCTGAAAATAGGGAATTGCATGTAAGGGGAAAGCTGAGCAATTAAGAATAAGGATAAAGCCAGCTGATAATCTTTAGGGTTCCTATAAACTATATCCTGTGAAACAAAGCAGAATAGTGAGAAGGAGCTGGACTTTGAAGCTAATTTTAATCTTTTAATAAAGAATGGAACCCATTCTTTATTTACCAGCATAGACTTGGCCAGCTAGAAACAGCACTAAACTTGGGTTTTCTCGTTCAGAAAAGGTAGTCACGATACTCACTCTTGGAGTTGTTTTAAAGTTCAAAAACGTAACATATAAAGAAAAATATTTAATGCTCAATGAATTGTCAGATGTTTCACTATAATTATTGCTAACAATAATGAGCTATAGGTATATCTAAATTTGCATTTTTCAGGAATCACAGAAAGGCCTAATCCAATGGCATACCAAGTATTCAGATTAGGCACTGTGTTGGGAAAACAATGACATTCAACAAAGTGCACTGTGACAACTTACTTTGCAATTAATCTACACAAAATGGACTTCTTAAACATCACAGGAAGTGAAGACAGGATTCCAAATTGAAAAAACAAACCAATAAGGACAAACTAAACACACATACACCCACACACACACATGCAAAAAAATCTTTTCCATTATTACTACTCTTCTGTATTTACCTGGTATATCTGATTGAGTCCAAAAGATCCAACTTTTCTTCAAATATATTGGTTAGATAAAGAGGAAACAAATGTTTAATGCAATGAAGGTACAAAAATAATTCTTTCTAGGACGACCCAGTTATAGCAACCCAGTTACATAGGTTTGCAAATCAAACAACAAAACAGTAAACGAGTAGACAGTCTCTAGTGTAAATGCACAGACTGTAATAATTCAAAAAGATTCAGATTTAACAGAATTTTGTATTTCACAGAGTTTTTTTTTAAGCTATTTTTAAATAGATGGAATCTTTCAAAATACGCTACCTAATTTTTCTTAATAGTGGGAAAAATATGTTTGGACTCTTGAGTGAAGCAATTTCTAGAGAAAACAGATGATCCAAACCTGAGGCTAAAACTCTAAGTACACATACAGAAAAGTACACAATATTCCCAGGATATATGTAAACAAAGAGAGCCACTTCATAAATGGTATTGGGTTTTGGTAACAGTATAATCCACTTTCATTAGGCATTTCCCTCCTGTGCATTAATATGTGACATCGTACTCTCAGATAACATTTCATAATGGAGTGAAATAAAAAGCCCCTCCAGATTGCAACTGTAAGATAATCAGATTCTGTAGTGCTCATTATGACTGCAATTATGTAGCAAAACTCTCCAAATATAGTTCAGTTATTGCGGTTATTAATCATTCTGGTTTTGTTTCAAGTACTTGCTTTATAGCCTGCTGGATAGACTCCATTATTCTACAAGCTGAATGTCGAAAGTCAAACATGTGCATGTGAATCTGCTGTTCTAACGGCCTTTCAACATAATTTACCCTTTCAATTTGTATTTGTGAATACAAAAAAAAAAAAAAAAAACGAGGGAGAAATAAAGCTGGTGTCAATAGAGTCACTGACCTTTGCAGTAAACAGAAGATAGTTCTTAACGAAAAACAACTTGGCAAATAAGAAACTTATTTTGCTAGAACTAGAAATACTGCTGCCTAAGAAGTTAGTCTCAGAATACCAATCAGTTCTTACAGAAAAGGAGGAAAAAACCTCAGAGAATCTGTATATTTGATAAGGAGAAAAATGATAAGAGGGCCAGGAAATGTGCATTTTTAAAGGTTCAAAGCACCAACATTACGGATAGAATGTATCTCTAAACATTTTATGCCTAAAACCATATATTACTATTAATTTAACTACAAAAGACAGTAGATTTATTATATAGCACAAACACCATCTGCAGCATCTTAAATCATTACTATAGAAACACTTCTAGGAAAAAAAACACATCTGAAAAGTTCTGAAATGCCACATTAACTAAATAGGATTCCAATCAGATCCAGCGAATTCATTATTATTTAAATATTAACATGCAGAGAGACTAGAAAAAGAAATATAATAATACATGCATGTGTCATCAATGTAACGGTTCACAAAAGGCATATCTCTAATTTCAAGTCGTCCATGATTTTTTCAGTTTCGCAACATACATCGGGCCCCAGGCTTTACCCTTATCTGGAATCACCAAGAGCCCACATTCCTGGCCAGTGGGAGCAAATGTGAAGTCTTGGGAGCAAGTCCTTGCCATTTCCTTAATGTCCACAGGCACGACGTCCCTGTAGGAGTTTAAAACTTCACTGATCACATCCTGATTTTCTGCCTTGGAAAGTGTGCACGTAGAGTATACAAGCAGCCCTCCAGGACGTAGGGCCTTAATTGCAGACCTGTGTGTAATCAGGAAAACGCAGACTGATTAGACATATTAACATAGAACCACGGAGGCTGAGGGCAAGAAAGCTTATGTGCTTGAAATTAATCGTCCTCTGGCTCTGACTGTAATAAGTCTGGGTGGACAGCCTTACAAATAGCCTGACAACCATTCCTTGCGAACATATCCCTGAGTACCTAGAAAAATGATAATCAGACCAATCCACATGGGGAAGACAGAGAGTGTGCTTAGAGTACTTTCTTGTTTTGTACTTATAAGGACAGGAGGATGGAGGTGGAGTATGGAGTAACTCGTTCTCTTGGAATACACTGAGTGGTACTAAGGGAGAAATATCAATAACCTCAGATATGCAGGTGACACCACCCTTATGGCAGAAAGTGAAGAACTAAAGAGCCTCTTGATGAAAGTGAAAGAGGAGAGTGAAAAAGTTGGTTTAAAGCTCAATATTCAGAAAACTAAGATCATGGCATCCGGCATGGCAAATAGATGGGGAAACAGTGGCAGACTTTATTTTTTGGGGCTCCAAAATCANCACTTACTCCTTGGAAGGAAAGTTATGACCAACCTAGACAGCATATTAAAAAGCAGAGACATTACATTGCCAACAAAGGTCCATCTAGTCAAGGCTATGGTTTTTCCAATAGTCATGTACGGATGTGAGAGTTGGACTATAAAGAAAGCTGAGTGCAGAAGAATTTATGCTTTTGAACTGTGGTGTTGGAAAAGACTCTTGAGTGTACCTTGGACTGCAAGGAGCTCTAACCAGTCCATCCTAAAGGAGATCAGTCCTGGGTGTTCATTGGAAGGACTGATGTTGAAGCTGAAGCTCCAATACTTTGGCCACCTGAAGCAAAGAACTGACACACCAGAAAAGACCCTGATGCTGGGAAAGAATGAGGCAGGAAGAGAAGGGGATGACAGAGGATGAGATGGTTGAATGGCATCACCAAACAATGGACATGAGTTTCAGCAAGCTCTGGGAGTTGATGATGGACAGGGAAGCCTGGCATGCTGCAGTCCACAGGGTCGCAAAGAGTCAAACAGGACTGAGCGACCGAACTGAACTGAAGGCACCCCATAAACCAAAGACCTCTGCATCAGCAAATCATAAAGTCACATCACCAGGCCAAAATATCATCCCTTAAAAACCTCCACATACTTTATCAACCCATTATTAAATAAAAATGTACAATGATGGATAATTAAGAGAAATGATTATGCAACATGTGAGATGAAGAATAAAACAAATAGTGGGGTGGGGTGGGACATGGGAGGGAGTCTCAAGAAGGAGGGGACATATGTATACCTCTGGCTGATCCAGGTTGATGCATGGCAGAAATCAGCACAATATTGTAATTATCCTTCAACTAAAAATAAATGAATTAAGAAAAAAAGAATAAAAGAAACAACCAAAAAATGGCCTATAAAGAAACAGAAAATTGAGGGAACAAAAGACACATATTAATAACAAGACCTAGTAAATGCAGAAAGGTCAGCAGAAATACATCACCCACAAAAACAATAAGAGAATTCCATGAAACTGATAAAGAAGAGAGCTCTTAGGAATGAAATACACGTTATCAAAGTACAGGATGTTCTTCAGGAGTATTTGGAAGTTATGGCTGAAAAATCTTCCAAAAAAATGTAACAATGGATTGACTGCAAATGAGACAGGAAAGACAAATCAAGCAGGTCCAAATTTCAATTAATAGGAGTACTGGAAAGACAGCAGAGCATTGGGGGAGGGGGACTTGAATTAGTGCAGTCATAAGAAAAGAATTTTCTAGAGATGAAAGTAAGTGTTCAGATTAAAGTAACCCATCGAAAGGCTAGAATATTTATTATTATTTATTCAGCATCTATTATGGTGCCGAGCATTGTTCTAGATGTTGGATATATATTAAAACACAACAACAACAACAAAAATCCTAAGTTTCATGAAGCTTACATTCCAACTGGAGGAGACAGACTTATAAAAAAATAAGTCTCTCATGGACTGAATTGTGTCCCCTTAAAATTCATGTGTTGAAACCCTAACCCCCAGTATCTTACAATGTGACTGTATTTGGAGATAATACCTTTAAAGATGTAACTGAGTTAAAATGAGGTCATTAGGGCAGGCTCTAATCCAGTATGTCCAGTGTCCTTATAAGAAGAAATCTGGACACAGAATTACAAAAGGAAGACCAAGTGAAGACACAGGGAGAAGACTGTTATCCAAGCAGAGACCTCAGAGGAAACCAAGCCTAAGGACTCTTTGATCTCAGACTTCCAGCTTTCAGAACTGTGAGAAATTTCTGTTGTTTAAAGCCAGGCGTCTGTGGTGCTCTGTTCTGGTAGTCCTAGCAAACTAATCGGAGAAGGCAAGGACCACCCACTCCAGTACTCTTGCCTGGAAAATCACATGGACGGAGGCACCTGGTGGGCTGCAGTCCATGGGGTCGCGAAGAGTCGGACACGACTGAGCGACTTCACTTTCACTTTTCACTTTCATGCATTGGAGAAGGAAATGGCAACCCACTCCAGTGTTCTTGCCTGGAGAATCCCGGGGAAGGGGGAGCCTGGTGGGCTGCCGTCTATGGGGTCGCACAGAGTCGGACACGACTGAAGCGACTTAGCAGTAGCAGCAGCAGCAGCAGATATATATCAACACATACACACATAATTATACACATACTCACATACATATATGTATGTGTGTGTGTTTGGTTGCATGTATGTTTTTCCCTTGCCAAGCAATCCTCCAGTTCTCTGCAAACACTGACTTCATGTCCTACAATTTAATTCAATTCTAACACTATACACCTGGTCACATAAAACTGTCCTTCGAATGCCAACTGTAAATTCAAGTCTCTGGTACTTCTGACCCACTGGCTATAAAATGGGGGATCCCACAAGGCTCTCCTTACCTTAAATAATTTCCTAGAATGGCTCTCTTACTATGTTACTGACTTATTATTAAGATGCAATTTAGGAACAGCCAGATGGAAGAGACGCACAGGGCAAAGTCTGGGAGAGGCAAGCAGGGCCTCCAAGCCCTCTCCAGGCACACTGCCCTCCCAGCACCTCCTCTCCATCCTGACAGCTCTCCAAATCTCTCCAGTGATGGGCTTTTATGGAGGCTTCATTAAACATGCACAGCTGATTAAATCATTGGCTACTTTGATTGAACTCAATCTCCAGCCCCCTCTCCCCTCTTTAAAAGGGGTGAGGGGTGGCACTGACAGTTCCAACCTCTAATCACATAGTCAGTTTCCCTGGCAACCAGTCCCCTAGCCTTAGGGGTTGCACAAAAGCCACCTCATTAATGTAAACTAAGGTATGGTTGAAATGGGCTTGTTATGGATAACCAACATTGCTCCTTTCACCCTTACCAAAGCCAGGTATTACAACAAGATGTTCTATCACTCTCATCACTTAGGAAATTACAAGGGTTTTAGGAGCTCTGGCTTGAAACCAGGAACAAAGATGAAATACATATTCACAATATCATAGTCTGCATATATTTTTAACTTAGTGATAGGTTCTATGATGAAAATTAAATCAAGATAAATTTAATTTTAAAGGTAAGAGGATTGACTTCCCTGGTGGCTCAGATGGTAAAGCGTCTGCCTACATTGTGGGGGACCCGGGTTCAATCCCTGGATTGGGAAGATCTCCTGGAGAAGGAAATGGCAACCCACTCCAGTATTCCTGCCTGGAAAAGCCCATGGATAGAGGAATCCGGCAGGCTATATAGTCCATGGGGCCACAAAGAGTCCGAAACGACTCAGAGACTTCACTTTCTTTTTTCAAGAGGATTAGGAGTACTTAGATGGTAACAGAGATTGCAATTTTAAGTAGGGTAATTAGAAAAGGGTGACACTTCAGGAAACAACATCTGAACAAAGACCTGAGGCGATAAGGAAGTGGGCCATGTTTGAAGATATTTGTTTGAAGATATTTGAAGGAAGAGCATTCTGCACAATTGGAATGTCCAGTGCAGAGACCCTTAGACATGTGTGGGGAAGGAGAAGGCCAGAGTGGCTGTAACACAGGGAGGAAAGAAGAGGCAAGATGAGATCAGAGAGAGCTAAGAGGAGAGGGTGCGGAAGGTTTTACATAACACAGTCAAAACACCAAACTTATGAATGAAAAACATACACACTCAGATGCATTACTGTTAAATTTTAGAACTTTGAGAACAAAGGAAAAATGCTAACTACCTACGGAGAGAAAAACTGGTTACCTCTAATGGTCCAGGAATCATACTGGCATCTGTGGAGTGGCACACTCCAAACCCTGGGGAAAAAGCAGTTTAAAGCGGGCGCTATTTTTTGCCATACTGTCAAATAAACACACACGAGGGAGCAAGAAGCTTTCAGCTATCTGATGACTCAGAAATTTTACCTCTAGCAAAATGAGGAGGTAAATCAAGAAAGAGGAGAAAGGTGACACAGAAATCAGTGAACGCCACGGAAGAGAATAGTGAAGGGAGTGAAGTCCCAGGACGGTAACGGCATGGCAGCCCTTAGAGAGTAACTGTTCCAGATTGAAGGAGAGGGAGGCTCCAGGGAGAAGGGAGAAGGCAGAGAGGAAACGAGATAACCGGGAAAACACTGAAGATCTGGTACCTGTACCTGGGGTGGTGGGGATGGGGTGGGGAGAGAGAGGGTGGGAGACGAAGAGAAAGAGGGAAGTGGGGGAGAAGGAGATGAAGGCAAAGAGAGGGAGTCTATTCGCCTAATCCGACTGTAAGAAAATTTTCCTCTCAGTGTCACTCTGATGACAACATTAAACCAACAGAGAAAGAAATTTAATTCTAACATATTAGTCGATTCTGTGGTGAACAGTATTTACAATATTAAGCAATTTATATCATTGGCCCTCCATGTTCAGAATCACTCCATAGACTGATCCTGGTAATGTTTCAAAATAGATTATAGAATCTCAGAAAGAATGCTGTCAGCCTTGACAACCTAAACAAAAAGGTGCAGGTGTAAGACACTGGGAAGT